TCCATTCCGGGCTACTTTGGGCTTTCTTCAACACGTGCCTTGAAATTCTTGCAGCCTCCGTGCACGGCCTGGTCCCAAAGCCACTCCCACAGCTTCAGGTCACCCTACCTCTGGTCACCAACCTCTAGGTTAGTTCATTGTGGCTGCGTGACAAAGCACCCTGGCACTTAGCATCTTAAAGCAGTAAACATTTCTTATCTTCCTGTCCATTGGGTCAGGAGTCCAGGTGTGGCTCAGCTGGGACTGTCACAGGCTACGGTGAAGGTGGCAGTCCTAGGCTGGACTAGGACGGGTCTTCCAACCCCACTCAGGTGGTGCTTTTCAGGATTCCATTCTTTGCAGGCTCAGACCGATGGCCTCTGTTCTTTGCTGGCTGTTACGAAAGGCCAGCTCGGTTCCTTGTCAGCGGGGAGACTGGCTTCCTCCCGAGAGAGCAAGGGAGAGAGCAAGGTGGAGGCCAGAACCCTTTTGTAGCCTCACCTCTGCAGGGACATCCCATCTCTTTTGTCCATGTGATGCTCATTAGAAGCATGCTGCTAGGGCCGGCCGGGCCACATGCCAAGAGGGAATTGGTTACCCAGGGCATGGAAGCCAGGAGGCGGGCTCGCTGGGGACCTCTCAGAAATCGTCGACCCCACACATCTCCGTTTTGCCTAGTTTTGAACTTCATAAAAATGGAACCACGTGGTATGTGTTCTTTTACGTCTGTCGTCTTTTGCTCAAAACGCAGTCCGTGAGATTCATCCCCGTTGTCCACAAAATCGTAATTTTTTTCTGTTTCCATCACTTGTGGAATTCTGATGCAGGAATATGGCAGAAATTATTCTCTCACTGCTGGATGTTTGGATGGTTTCAAATGTAGGACTGCCGTGTACAAAGCTTCTGTGCACATTCTTGCTCAGTCTTTTGTTAAACCTGTGTTCCCATTTCAGGGGCGCCGGGGTGGCTCAGTCAGTTAAGCATCTGACTTTTCATTTCAGCTCTGGTCATGATCTCACGGTTTGTGGGTTCGAGCCCAGCATTGGACTCTGCGCTGATGGTGTGGAACCTGCTTGGGATTCTCTCTCTCCCTTTTTTCTTCCCCTCCCCTGCTTATGCTTGCTCATTCTCTCTCTCTCTCTCTCTCAAAAAGAAATAAGAACATTAAACAGATTTTTTTAAAAACCTGTGCTTGCTTTTCTGTTAGTCTATACCTAGGAGTGAAATTGCTGGCTGGTGGGTGCATGTATATTCAGCTTTGGTTGTTACTGCTAAACCATTTTCCAGAATGAACAAACCCACATACCCACCGGCAGCGTGCGAGACGTTTAACCGCGCGTGCTCGGCCCGCGATCTCTGCCTGGAAACCCTGTTCCGGTTTTCTGTGACCTGTGCTTTCCTCCGTCGTAGTGTCTTGGGTCCTTCCTCCTTCCTCCCTTCTTCCCTTCCTGCCTTCTCCCCAACAGAAACGGTAACAGACAATTAAACAATCTTGCACAGGGCTCTCTCCATATCATAAAATCATTTTGTAGACTGTGTACAGAAATGCTTTCTAAACACCATCTGTAATAGCTGAAGTTGTTCCATGCCTTACTCAAATCCACCCCAACTCTTAGACCTTGACCTTGTTTCCTGTTTACATTTCTGTAGTAAGTTCAAGCTTCATAACCAGAGATGCAGTTGAAATTAGGTGTTTTTTTTTGTTTGTTTGTTTTTTTTCATGGCTGATAGGGCTCGGGGGCCCATGGTAGGGATGTGCCTGAGAATGATACAGAAATGCAGAAGCGAAAATTAGCAGCAGCACAGCTGACATCTGGGCAATATAAAACAATTTTTTTTTTTTAGAAATTATAGTATTCCTGCAGCAAGGAAACCTTGAAGCAAATGGGTTTGGATCTAGGGCATTAGCTCAGGGAACCATTTCAAGGCTACATGACAAGCTTGAGGTAGAGGCTTTTCGCTAGAATGACAGGCGCCAGGAAGAGGAGGCCGATAATGAGAACCCGCTGCCGATTACTGATTTCCGCTACACGCCGGGTCCCATGCAGGCATCTCACAGATGCCCCCTCCCTGACTCATTGTGGGAGCTGCAAGATAGAAGCACTGATGTCCCCAGTGTAAAGAAGAGAAGGCTGAGGCCAGAGAGCTTGACCAACTTGCCCAAAGTCACAGAGGCGGCCAGTTCTGTGGCCGGACTCCCAGTGTGGGGCTCTGTGGTTTGTTTCCACGTTCACGCAATACCTACACACCTCCTTTTTTGCCCAAGGAGAGCCCTGCAGCAGAGAGTCGGGGATGGGAAAGGTGGGTGGGTGGTCTTTAGAGCCCGTTTCCTACCCGCCCCCTCACTGGTGTCGGGGCACTGAATAGAGAGCAGGCGTGGATGCAGACAGAGGTCCTGGGTTGCAAAGGCAGAAGGAGGCAGGGGAGCAGAGGGAGCACAGAAGCTGGATCACCCCAGAGCCCATGTCAGGCTCCCGTAAACCACTC